GGGAAGGAGCTAGATGAAGGGATTCAGTCAACTGCTGCAAAGTTGACTTCATGCCGCTTGGAAGCACAGATGGACAACAACCCAAAACCTCCAGTTAAAGAAAACCAAATGTTTTTAAGGTAAAGGAGTGGAATATTCTGCACTGACTGAGGCAGGAAGGCCCACAAACGAACAACTGAAAACAGCTGCATTAAACGTCTGGCAAGGGATGACAAAAGAGGAAACCCATCCTTTTGTGACAGTTATGAGTTCCTCACTTCAAGCTGTCACTACAACTGTGGCTGCAGTTTAAACATTTCACAAAGTACTTTTGTTCATCTCTAAATTAAAGCTAAAGTTCTGTACTTCAGCTGCAGCTTTAGTGATGGCGTATGCAGTTTATCAACCTAACTTTATATACAGCTTATCAAGGACAACCAGTCTCAGATAATCTAGACATAAAAATTCAAAGAGAAACAGCAGGAAAGACCTGGTTTTGTTGAACTTTTGTGTGTTTGTGTGTGTGCATCCAGAGATCAAAGACAACGCAGAGGTCTTGGTGAAGTTTCACCCTCAGTTCTGGCAGGATGGGTTGTGGCTCTGCTGCCGCCAGGCAGAAAAACAAGCACCGGGGTGCGAGCAGTACAACCCGTTAGAAGACAGTAAGTGCCTGACGCTCATATGTTTGCTTTCTGTGCTCCATCTAGACTTCCTGTCTCTTGACTTTGTTATTAACTTTATGGTTAATAACAAAGTCATTAACTTTATGGTTAATAACAACCTGTGGAAAAATAATTATCCTTCAAATGGAGCTTGTAACGAAGGCGGGCTGTCCAGAATGTCTACAAAGAAGCTGCAAGGCACACACTGTTTCAACCAGCCCCCCTCCAATGAAAATGATGCCTTTATCCATGTTTAACAGTCAGGATTTTGTAAAGAACAAACCAGTCTCATAAACCTGTGGGGTGACACTTTGACCCAGATCTGAAGCAAGGTTTAGCTTACATTAGCCGCTCATCTTAGCTGTTTGCTAAGCTGATGTCCTCGCGCTGCACTCATTTTATGTCAGCTCAGTGTGAGCTAGCACCAACCACATCACATCAGTTGCATAATACTGGAAACTAACTCACTCCAAAATTCTACCTCAGTGTGTTAACATTAAATGCTACAGACCTTTATAGTGTCTTTTTGGCTCACAGTTTTGGCCCCCGAGCTTCACATAGAATCCATAAAATGTGTGTAAATACCAGTTTTCATATTTGCTGAATAATTTGTGTATTAAAAATTCATTCTGTGCATGGTATGCTGGAATAGAATAAAACAGAAAGCCTTTTTTGACATTGTATTTATGATACAATGAGCTTTCATGTCTCAGAGTAACAGTTGCATGTTACATTTTTAGATCATGATATCAGTTACACCACAAAGCCACGTGCACATAAAAGAAAGAGGTAGCTGTGCTATAAAGTGTCCGAGTCCACATTGAATGCGCAAATCATTATTGTCATGTGACATAAAAATGAATAAATACACTATTGCCAAACGTAATTGCTCGTCTGCCTTGAGTAACATCCCATTATTGATCCAAAGGGTTCAATATGATGTCAGCCCACCCTTTGTAGCTATAAGAGCTTCCACATCATCCACACATAACTCATCCATGTCTTTATGGAGCTTGCTTTGTGCACTGGTGCACAGTCATATTTGAACAGGAGGGTGCCACAAACAAACTGTTCCCACACAGGTAGGAGCATGAAGTTGTCCAAAATGTCTTGGTGTGCTGAAGCGTTAGGAGTTAATGTCACTAGAACTAAGTGACCTAACCAAATTTCCACTCCACCAAACTTTAGACTTCACACAATGCAGTAGGACAAGGACAGTTCCCCTGGCAACCGCCAACCCCAGACCCATACGTTGGATTGTCAGACAGAGAAGTGTGATTCGCCACTCCAGAGAACACAAGTCTAATGGCAGTGTGGTTAACATGACTGCATCAAACGATTTGCATTGTGCTTGGTAATGTAAGGCTTTGATGCAGCTGTTTCCATGGAAACCTATCCAATGAAGCTCCCAATGTACTGTTCTTGAGCTAAGTTGAAGGCCACATATAGGGGGTGTCCAAATTCATGGGCTGCATCCTCCTGAGGACCCGGCCTTCGCGGTCTATGTAGGCCGGGTCCTCAGATAGTCGGGTAGGCCGGAAGTAAACGTCTGTGAAATCGGACGGTCTAGCCTTCAAATTTGCGTCACCGCTTTCTCGGTGGAGTTTAATAAACTCGGCCGTCTGCTTCTTGCTATCTAAAATATAACAGGACACTGGCGTAAATTCTCGACCGTCTCACACTTCTGTTTAATCAGTTTTCTGTTTCTGTTTTCACATTCAGCT